CTTGCAGCGTGGGCACACTGTCAGGACGGGCAGCTCCACAGGGAAATGTCGGCCTCAGCACGACGGGGCCATTTGTTGAAGGTCGACTGGGAACAGTGGGCAAAAGGGGGGCTGCTGTTTGCCTTGAGGAAGGCTCTGATAAGCCGGCCAAACGGCGAGAAAATGGCCTGCCTGCTGCGCTCTTGCTTTTGCTTTAGTTCCTGTGGCGGAGCGCAGGGACCGCGTTCCCTAGGCTGGGAATAATGAGTGTTTATTCACCAGCGAAGGAGGAGCTGAATCCCGGCTCCGGCGCGTGGGCCTCCACCACAGCGCTGCCAGCAGGGACCTGGGGCACCCGAAATGGAAGCAAACCCTTTTAACCTACGTGGTTTGTAGCAGGCTTTCTTTTGTCTCCATGGATTGCTGCCGCTGTGGGCGAGGGGCCCTTTCAGCCAGGCTCACCCTGCTCGCTGTGCTGGGGCCGGATGAAAGAAGCAGTGGTTTGTCTTTGTTTGTGGTCCGTTGTGGAGGTGCTTTCCTGGAGGGATGTTAAGCACAAAGGTGAATTTTGCCATCTCGGGTAAGCACCGAGTCACTGCTGTGGGGCTGGAGAGCAGGTGCTGCAGGAGGCAGCAGGGACATGGCGGACATGTCTCCTCCTCCCTGTGGGAGCAGCTTGGACCTGCCCCAGGGCTGGCGGGCTGTGGCTTAGGACAGAGGAGCAATTCAGGTCACAGTGAGGTCTCCCAGCCGTGTCGGAAGCAAAGCGTGAGGGGTCTTGTCTTGCCCACGGCAGAGAGGAGGAAGGCTGCGTGCCACCGGCTGGTCCCGTGCCCATCGGGACTGAGGGGTTTACCTCAAGAGCTTCGTGGTGTTGGGCAGGTTGTGGCCATACGCGTGTGCTCGTGCAGGAAGGGCAGGAGCTGCCAGCACTCTGCTTTTGTTGGTCCGTGTATTTCCCTCTTCCTGAGCCAGCTCCAGAGCGTTTTGGCTGATGTTGGTATCCATCTTGCAGTGGAGTGCTTTGAGAATCAGTTTCATCTCAGAAAGGCCCAGGGGGGTCGGTATTTCCCCACCATGACCTGTATTTCTCCTTCCCCACGTTCAGGCTAACTCCAGTCAGCCTTCCCCGGAGCTGGGCCTTCATGTGGCTGCCTTAGCTGAGCTGCTGCGAGTTCTGCCCTCAGCCTTTCAGGCTCTCTCCCATGTTGTGCTCAGAACACACTGGGGGGGTGTGGAGGAGGCTGGTCTTCCCCCCCCCTGGGTCTGTG